GTGAACAGACGCTGCAGACTTCAGTGAGCCCTTAAACCGAATAAGTCGGAGTGGCTCCACCGAAGCTCCCTCTCTTTCTGCCACGCACTCACTTGCAAGTTTTAAAAAACAGAGCTCTTGGTCTGAGGAGTCACATGTTTTAAGAGCACTCCGATCGCTAGCGTTATTTATATTCTCGGTTATTCATGAATTTGCATGTGGCGTATTTGTAAAATAGTTTATTTGTGTTTTTGTATGGCATCGCTTTTATTTTTATTGCTCCGAGTTTTAAAGTGACGCGAAAAATATTTATCACTCATTGAGTTTATCAAGGATGAAGATTACTGAGTTATGAAAGCTAGATAAGCAAAAGAGACAGAACGCTCTTTTGAGTGGCATGGATTTTGGCGAACTCCGTCTTAAAAAACACTTTTTTTTGTCGGAACCAGACACAAAACAACGCGTACAGAAAACAGTACTCAGGACTACATGCCGTCCATTGTCCCTCTTAATCATTGTTAAATCTGCACAATTTACTGGGTGTCAAAGATTTCAGATGTTCGTCTCTCAACACATCGCGGCCAAATGTCTTTATACCTAAGTCTTGCAAAAGTGGGGCAGAAGCACATTCAGAGTAAAGCAAGATGGTCAAATCTCTGCCGTCAGCAATTTCTGCCTCGTTCCACTCAGTGTTATGCCAACATACGTTTCTTTTCAGTCTGTAGGTGGCATTTAAGGCTTCCCCACGTATGAAGACACAAAGTGATGGTAAGTGCAGCAGTGTGTCAAAGGTAGGGATGTTGCGAAAGTGGAATTTTAGACATCTGCGGATGCGAATTTGTAACAGCTAACATCCGCGGATGCGGATGCGAATGCGGATGTCAAGTATTTTTAATAAACAATTAGAATCTAGCATATTGGCGAGATCGTTTTTTAAAAGCCCTTTCAAGCCAAACCTGATGTGCCAGGTTTTTCTAAAGCTTTTTAAAAGAATTATTCATTCTCATTCCTTTGGCTGCTTCAGAATTTGGGGAATCTGTAACTTTATCAGCGTTTTTGGATTTTAGTTTTTGTAATTCTTTTTTAATACTTTCTTCTGCAACTGCTTTGAAAAATTTGTGCTTATAGCGAGCTAGTAAATAGGTGGATATGGAAAATAAATTATTACTGTTTACCAGGAAGGAAAATTTTGAGCAGAATTCTGTTTTCAAAGTCGTTGTTGCCAGCCGAATCGGATCAGAATATTGTTATTTAAAAAAAAAGCACCACGTTTTTTATAAGTACCTGAATCTCAGATAGTAACGCAATTCTTATCTAATTAAAGGTCAGACCTATAGCTTTTTAATTATTTGAGCATCGATTCTCTTTATAGCCAGACCTTGATCATTTATTCTGGAAATCACTATTGAAGAAGCTTACTCTTTGACTTTAAATAGCAAAGGAACAGTTTTACCACAGAAGTTTTTAGTCAAGGACCCAATGTATATCCCTGTGCAAAAAATATTGCCCGCCAAGTAAACAAAATTACTGTGTAGTCAACGAGCCTTTTCGTTGGCTATTTAATGCAAAAAAAAACGCGACCAAGTTCAGATTCAAAATATAAATTTATTTGTGCCAAAGATGAATGCAGTCGAGCTCGAAATAGCCCGTGCGTTCTGCGATGCGATCAAAAATGCGAATGCTCCTGCCTTGCACTAGAGCACAAAGTCCACCAAAGTGTGGAGAGCGCGGTGGAATGAAGCGCCAGTCTATGGTATTGGCAAGACAAAATTCATGAACAGCTTGCACATGATTGTCGCTCAAGAATAATCGTTTTAATTCAGCCATCTCATTCTTAGCGCCGACAAAATTAGTTGCATTGTCTGACCATATACGCGTGGGGCGACAACGCGTTAGGATGAAACGCTTTAGTGCATTTAAGAATGCCTTCATTGACAAGTCTGCTACAAGCTCCATGTGCACAGCCTTCGTGGCGAAGCATATGAATATGCAGATATAACATTTTATTGGCTGCTTTTTCGAATTTCATTTGTGTAAAAGAATGGCCCACTATAATCAACGCCTGTGACCATAAATGCGTAAGATGAATTCACTCTATCTTCCGGAAGGTCAGCCATAATGTGTTCCGCTAAGTGCGGTTTAGCTCGAAAACATAAAATGCATTTGCTTACAGCGCTCGAAATGGTTTTCCGCCCACCAATGAGCCAATACTGCAGCCGAATGCATGCTAGTAGGGAGCGAGGACCCGCGTGTAAGTTGCACCTATGAAAATGCATAATGATTGCATGAGTGATAGGATGCCTCCTAGGCAGTATGACTGGATGCTGTGCGTCGAAGTCGAGCGCCGAGTTCTTCAGTCGTCCACCCACACGAAGCAGTCCATAACTATCGATGAATGGTGAAAGCGACGGTATGCAGCTGGATGCTTTCACACGTTGACCGGCTTGAAGGCATTTGAGGTCATCTTTGAAGTGGACCATTTGGATGTTGCACAGAAGTAATTTTGTGCCATGACGGAGGCAATCAACAGTCAGTCCAGAGATCCTCATGCGATGCTGAAACTTATAAATGTAAGCGAAAACATGTTGTAATTTTTCGAATGAGTTGACAAGTTTACATCTAAGCATTATATCGATGGGCTCAGACGTGGCGACCAACACACTTTTGCGCACCTCCGAAAGTTGTTTGACTATAACGCAAGACTTCGGCCATTTAGTTTTATCTTCAGCTAAGAAGTCCGGTCCATGAAGCCAAAGCGTCGATGAGGTCCCTTGGAGTTGCTCCTCTAGATAAAATATCAGCAGGGTTTGACTTCGTAGGCACGTAGTGCCATTCCATTCCCGTAGTCAACTCCTGTATAGTAGCTATGCGATTATATGTAAAGATTTGAAATCTTGATGGTTCGTCGCATATCCACAATAAGACTACAGCTGAATCGGACCAACAATACTATCGGCACGAGAAAAATTCCATTCGAGCTATTTCATGCATGAGTTGCGCCAGCAGGGTGGCGCCGCACAATTCCAGCCTTGGAACCGTAAGAGATTTTAAAGGCGCTACACGAGATTTTGAACATAGTAAGTGCACCTGCTTTCTTTCCTGTCTGACCGACACAACATAAACACATGCTCCGTATGCTTCGATGCTGGCGTCGCTGAAGCCATGAACTTACCAGGTGATCTTCTGTTGATTTCCCAAACGAGGAAACTTTAGTTGCGGTATGCAACCAAGATCCGCGCACAAACTAAGCCACGATGACTGTAATGATGAAGGCAAGCTTTCATCCCAGTCGAGCTTTTCTTTCCAAATTTGTTGAAGAAATATTTTGGCCTTCGAAATGATAGGGCCAATGAGACCAAGCTGATCGTAGAAGCGAGCAATAGTTGACAAGATGGAACGCTTACAATGCTTTGTTGCAGACTGCATTGGTGAAAACGCAAACAGTAGACAATTTGATGCAGGGTCCCAAGTAAGGCCCAGTGTCTTTGTGATATCGCTTCCATCGTCGAACTTAAGTAGTGTTTCACTTTCATCAGCCGGTATCCCCTGCAGCAAATCAGGATTATCGGAGCACCACTTTCTCAGCTTGAAACCTCCCTTTGCCAGCAAGTTTGTAGTTTGACTCATGATTTCCTTAACTTCTTGAAGAGACTCCCCACCTGTAATAAGGACGTCGACATAAAAATCACGCTTTAATGTTTTCGAGCCTATGGGGTGCGATGGGTGTTCGTCAATGGCTAACTGATGCATCGAACGAATTGAGAGAAATGTAGCTGGCCTTGTACCATAATTAACTGTGTCAAGTCTAAAGACTTGAACTGGCTGCTGCGGGCAGTCACGCCACAAGATGCACTGCAAATAACTATCGGACTCTGAGACCCGCACACAACGATACATCTTGCAAATATCGCCCGTCAAGGCGACTGGAAAGGTTCTAAATCGAAGCAATGTGTTGAACAACTTAGGTTGTATGGTGGGTCCTATCATAAGCAAATCATTCAATGAGTACCCAGAGGATGAAGCGGCGGATCGAACACCACGCGGAGCTTTGTAGTTGTGCTGTCCTCCTTTAAAACACAGTGGTGTGGTAGAAAGTACTTACAATGCCGCAGACTGTCTGTGCTAACTAGCGACATATGAGGGCTATTCGCGATCCGGTGCAAATGGCCTAGCATCATTGCATTGCAAATTTGTATTGCAAATTATTTGCAATACACAAACAAAATACACGCATTTGCATTTGTCATGGCTTGGCAAATTTGCAATACCGAAAATCGATAGCATAAAAATGCTATGCATTGCATTCATAAACAAAACCAAAGCTGATGCACAAAAATTGTTTTGCAAAAGCTTTACCATGACAGTTTAATAAAGGTCGCTCACAATCCATGGCATATTTCTGCAATTGCATAAATTTGTCAGCTCTTATGCACCAAATCGCGAATAGCCCTATGGTTTAAAGCCAAGTACTCCTGCATGAATGCCGTATATTGTGCCTTCCGCTGTGGGTGGCGCTCCAACTTTCGCTCTAGATGGAGAAACCGACGAAAAGCTTGCTGATAAGAGTCACCCCAAATATCAATACTAAATTTTGCAGGTAACCGAACCGAATAATTCCCGGTAGGAAAGCGAACATAATTGGCCTTAAAATGGGCTTCGCACTCGAGCTCCTCCTTGGAGTATTTGGCGCCAGATTCACACCAACTTTCAACCTCCCAAAAACGACGTACCAGTTGATCGATTTGAACATTGGATTTGCTCTCTATATCAAGCGATGACTGTGCGGCCAATGTCGCTCGACTTCGCGACTGCAATTCACCACCTGTTACAACCCACCCTAACCTAGTTTTCTGCAGGAGAGGTAGGCCATGAGCTAACTTTATTTGACCAATACATAAAAGATTATAGAAGAGACTGGCTCCAATAAGCATATCTATTCGTCGCGGCTTTAAAAACTGCCGATCAGCCAAACGAATATTCGAGGGAATATTTCAATGAGAAGTATTCAAAGTAAGACTCGGTTAATAGTTCGTAATGTTAGGAGCAACCAACGCTGTAATGCAAGTGGAATACTCCGAATTTTGAGACTGAATAACAATGTTGATAGTAAAACCATCAGAGGCGAAGTTGGCATCACCAAGACCCGATACACATGTGGTAGACTTGGTTTTGCGCAACTGCAATTGATGAGCGAGACGGGATGTAACAATATGCACCTGCGATCCGGAGTCGAGCAGTGCACGACATGGCACCCATGTATCAGAGTTGTTCTTTACATTGATTACAGCAGTGGCCAGAAGCACAACATTAGGACTGAGATTCTGGGCCGATGTGGCAGCTGACGGTCTTTGTGCGATTGCAACCAAAGAGTGATGTGCCACTGAAGTTGAAACGGTTTGCGAAGGGTCTTCCGATGTTACTTGCGAAGGTGAGGTACCCTGCACTGCAGAGGGAGCGCTTTGTGATTTAGTGGAGTCAATATGTAATAGGCTGTGATGCTTGGCTCCGCATACACGACATAAGCCAGCATTGCACGTTCGAAGTTGATGGCCTTTTCTGAGGCAGTTTAAGCACAAGGCCAGTTTCTTGGCCTCCTCAAGACGGAGTCGTGGCGACAAATTTGCAAAAAGCGTGCATGCATATATAGCGTGGTCTGTGCTGGCACAGAAAACACAGCCATTGGGTGAAGCGTTAGTAGTGATAAACGATTTTCTACTATGGTTAGTGATTCTACTGTTTTTTCCCACCTGAGAGCCACTCGTATATGCTGCCATAGAGTGTCCTACGTTCTCCAGTTTTTGACAACGCTTCTCCAGGAAAGTTGTAAACTGCTCCCATGAGGGTATGAGATCCTCCCACTTGGTCTGCGTAGCACTGTCAAACTTCTGCAGATGAGTGTCCACGATTATGCACCCTGCTATTTGCTCCGAATTTCCAATAGTCTGTAATGCGCGAAGGTTTGCATTTACCTTGTCTGATAACTCCCGAAGCTTCACCGCTGACGAAGTGTCCATCCTTTTGATGCCCATAACCTCAGTGATGTGTGCCTGGAAAATAAGACGCTTATTGTTAAATCGTTTGTGAAGCAAATCTAAAGCCACAGCATAATTGTTGCCTGTCATCTCCAATGAACGGATTGCATCCTGCTCTGGGCCCTTTAGAGATGAACGTAAATGCTGCAGCTTCTCGACATTCGTGAGATCAGGATCCTTATCTATGATACTCGTAAACATTGAGAAAAAATCGGTGTATTCCATGTAAACTCCGCTGAATGTAGGCAACCTGAGCTCAGGCAAGCGTGGTAGAATAAGATGGCATTTGAGACTGACGCTTACGAATCTCATGCCGTATACGAAATCGCAGTGAAAGCAGTAGCTCTTCGAAGTTTGTACGCAGGGTTCCTCCGATTTCATCAAAATCTAGTTCCTCGAGGCTGCTATGGGCTAAGTTAAACGTGTTGGAAATATGTTCGAGGCACTCCAAGCGTACCTTTAAATCCAATTCGGTGAAGGAATCAACACTTTCGCCTTCGATTGCCCGCTCAATCGCTTGCGCTTGTACCAAAATTGATTCCGCCTTACGCTTGTAATAAATCACCATATCCTCAGGTGACAGCCGAGAAGCTTCCTTCGGTGTCATGGTACAAATCTTAAAATGCGCGCACCCACGAGCAATAATGTATGTATGATTGGTGACAGTTAAACTAGCGGAACAAAAAATCGCGTGTTCCTGGAGCGGTACTTATGTGCTTAATATATATTTATGTATATTATGTGTCCAACGGATCGAAATAGCGCGACACCAGCAGCGGTATATTTGCACATATTAAAATATATTTCAGCAAGTATATAAAACCGAACGGAACTCCATATGCAAGTAGCGGTTTGCTCTTAAGTTTATACTTATGTAGTGCTTATGTACTTGTATGTACACCTTCGCTTCATGTATTTTTATTGGAAGGATTTATTTGACGCAAAATTAAACAAAATTATTTTAATCGCGATCACGTCGGGGTCACCGAAAATGTGTAGTAAACGAGCCATTTCGATGGCTATTTAATGCAAAAAAAACCCGACCAAGTTCAGATTCAAAATACAAATTTATTTGTGCCAAAGATGTATGCAGTCGATCTCGAAATAGCTCGTGCGTTCTGCGATGCGAGTTATGGTCTGATTATGCATACTTCGCATAACTTCGCACAACTTCGCATAAACTTCAAACTGTAATTTCGTATGTACTTTGTATGTATTTTGTATGTATTCCATTACCCATAAATTAGCAGAACTTTTGAAAACTTAGCGATCTGTTGAGTTTAGATTTTGCTTCACATTTGCTTAAGTTACATTTTTAGTGCACTGGTACAAATGGTTGTGCGAAGTTATGCGAAGTATGCATAATCAGACCCTTAGAAAGAAGTTTGCTTTGATTGCTGCGCAGAGCAATTTACAAAAGTTTGTATGGTTGTATGTATGTACATAAATATGAGTAGATGAGTGAGCAAGTGCAGATCTGCTTGCGCTTTCTCCATGACCAAACAATTACTGTTTTAAATGTTTGCTAAAACTAAATTCCCCAAAGAGCTCCATTTGAAGTTATTGAAACGAATATATGTAACATCAAAAACAAATCACGAAAATTTGGTGGTGAACACTTTCTTCTTTTGTGTGTAGTAGTTCACAAATACTCCCACGACCACCAGCAAAAATATTGGCTACAATTTGTCATTTTGTTTGATGTATATACGTTTTATCAGTGCACTTGCACAACATTCGCATTCGCAAAAGCTCCGCATTGATTATTGCGAATGCGAAAGCGAATGCGAATGTTAAAACTAATGCCGAAGATCCGTTGTTGCGAATGCGAATGTGAATATTCGCAACAACCTTGTTTTGAACTTAAACTAGGCCTTAACTTTATACGTACAAGTATTCCTATGGTCAAAATAATAGTATTGCGACCTTTGAGTAATTTTCTTTTGTTGGTTTAATGTTCATTAATTTTTATAAAAGTATAGCTCGTTATATAGCTACAACCATATAAATCCAAATTTATATCTTTGTACGGAAATTAGAAAAAATTTACAAATTTCAACAAAATTGCTTCAAAGTATAAAATGTTTTAATCAGAACTACACAAAGCCAAGTATGTAATTTTATAGCTCTTTCAATTTTAGTTTAATGTGTTAAGTGCAGGTTTGGATTATTTTAAAATTCGCATTGATTTTTGGATTTTTTTTTTTGCTGGTGTTTTTATTTTGTTTCATATAAAAACATTTCAATCTACTACATTTCTATATACAAATTCACTTTATTTCACTATACAATACTCAGGAAAATTAAGGGAGGTTTTAAAAATAGGAAACTATAGCTAAATAAAGACGCTGTCCGATCCATATGCCTGCCTAAATGACACAATTTTTTCCATCTCGTGGACCAAAAAAAAAACAAAGAAATTTGCAAAATTATTTTTTCGCACTGTCTGTCAGCATTATATGAAAACCGTTGCTCCTAAAAATTTTTAGCCAGAAGAATTAGAATCTTAGAGCTTCAAAACGACAATTTTTTAACGAAACACGGCTTGTCAAAAACCGCCGAAAAATTAGGTATTTTTTTCTTCCTTAATATCTTGAAGTAGTGAATTATCTGCCTACATTGAAAGATAAAGCCAAGCCTTTTCGTGGAACCCCACTTTCAACTCGTGAACCCCTATATTTTTTTCACGCTAATCTCGACCCCCGTCGAGTCTCTCGGGGCCCCCTGGGGGTCCACCCGGACCACTTTGAGAATCACTGCTCTACATATTAGGAGATATTTGTTGGAATTTTCAAATAGATAATGGAAATGACTGAAAAATTTATCAATTAAATACCTCTTTGAGGTAAAATTTTCGAGTGACGAAAGCTGATCTAGAAACACAAAATTTGTGATACCAATTTCGTGACGAAAATTATACGCATTTTTCAACTGCCTTTGAAACGTACGGAAAATATTTTTTATTAATACGACTCGTTGCAAAAGTTCTGTTTTTTACAGGGACCGAAAATAATCGTTATCATGAAGGATTTTTATTTAAAAATCATTGTATAATCGTTATTTTATGATTTATATTTTTTTCAATAAAAAAAAACGTTATTCTTTGATTTTTATTTCTTCAATCCTTTTTTAATCGTTATTTTATGATTTTTATATTTTTAATCAAAAATAATCGTTATTTTATGATTTTTATTTTTTCGATCCTTTTTAATCGTTATTTCGTGATTTTTATTTTTTCGGTCATTTTTAATCGTTACTTTATGATTTTTATTTTTTTGATCATTTTTAATCGTCATACTATGATTTTTATTTTTTCGATCATTTTTAATCGTTATACTATGATTTTAATTTTTTTGATCAAATATAGAAAATATTCTTAGTTTTTTAATGTGTAAACCGCATGTGCATAGATTTGACTTAAAAAAAAGTTTTACAAGGCATGCTTATGTACACAGTAAAGTCGGAATTGTAATGCTCTCATAGCCGAAATCTCTATTTGACAACGCTTTGCAGGCTTTTGACAATGAGATATGTTTTCGTGATAAATGAATTCAAGCAAATTGCTAAAGGCTTTTTTAAACAAAATGTTGTTTAACTAAAAATGCTGCAAGGATGTACATATGTATACAGGTGTCCCAGAAGTAACGTGCCAAACTTTAGGGGAAGGTAGGGGGGGGGGATGAGCTCCCTGATAAACAAAAAATTTTCAGGTAAAAGCGTCACCGTTTTTGAAATATTTACATTTTTTCGAATTTAAAAAAAATCGTGCCTTTTCATGTGTTTTCTTTAACTGCAACTACAAACCGGGCAATACTTTTTTATGTAAAATGCCTCTCCATACTCAAATGCAATGTAGTTAAAATATATTAAGGAACCGTCATAAAATTAGGACAATTTCTGGATTTTTAACTTTTTGATATTTTCTTCCCCAACTTTGACTATCTCGGGTGAAAAAAAATGTACTGAGCTATAACTTTACATTACATAAAAAAATTGCTCATTTAATAAAGATTTCAGAAAGGTGCCACACTTACTGTTTTGAATAGAAAAAAATAAAGTTATAGCCGCATTTGTGGGTAAAGGACTGAGACACGCTAGAATGTATTAATAGATTTAAATTGAATTTGCTCTTGGTACCGTCAAATGACATGCTAAATAGTACAAAGGTACATAATTACTTGCTTCTGACATTATTTTATGTTACTTACCGGAATTCGGACTAGAGTCTATAACAAGGGCTATATCTATCAATATTTTGTGTGAAGGATGGGTACACGTGAAATAAGATATATATGAGTTGTTTGAAGAAAAATTTATTCATTTATTGATACAATATGCTCAAATTGGCGACCTTCTGTTCTAATACAAGCTCGGCAACTTTTAAGAAAAGATGCTTTTAGAGATCTTAAACTCAATTGGGCTATCTAAGCAGCAGCTCCATTTATTTGTTCCCGCAAATCCTCTTCGTTTTGAATTGTTTTTGAATAAATTTTGTCCTGAAGACAGCTCCAGTAGAAAAAATCTAATGGATTCAAGTCTGGCGATCGAGCGGGCTACGTGATTGGCCCGTATCGTCCAATCCATCGGCGAGGATAAGTTTCGTCTAAATGAGCTCTTACTTCACGCCCGTAGTGAGCAGGGCACCCGTCATTTTGCTGCCATAGTCTTCGCCGCAGGTTTAAGGGTACATCTTCCAAAAGAGTTGGAAGCCGTTCCTGAAGGAACTCTAAATAACTGTGAGAGTTGAGCGTTGGCGGCAGTTCCACAGGTCCCTATATCTGACAATTAAAAATACCGCACCATAAATTTATTTTGTACCGGTACTGCGAAGGATCTTCTCTCATTTCGTGAGGATTGTCTATCTGCCAACTGTGAAGGTTATGTAAATTAAAATAACCATCACGTTTGCATGATGATTCATCGCTCCAAATTATTTTATTAAAAAAGTTGGGGTCTGATTCATGCATTCGCAACATTTCACGGCAAAATCTAACTCTCGACAGGTAATCTCTTTCTTGTTGAATGTGGTATGGATGAAATCGATGGTCTTGTAAAGCTTTGTGAACTGTAGTTTTTGGTATTCCCGTCCGTCTTTCCATCATTCTCACTGAAGTCGATGGACCTAGTTCCACTTCCTCTAACACAGCTTCAACATCTACCGTTGCAGGACGTCCTGTTTCGCCGCCACGCCTTCCAGGTATGCGACCTTAAAAAAGTGAAAAATG